GAGTATTTATAATACTCAGAATAACTTAGCTGTTCTCTTTGAACAGTATTGCTGTTACCTTGTACAACATTCTCTTGATTCTGCTCATTATACTCTTCATTATTTCATGCAAGTCTTTCCATGTTTTTCTAAAATCAACCTGCTCATCATTTCTTACAGTACAGTAGCATTTCACCACCAATATATACCACAACTTCTTTAGCTATTCTCCAATTGATGGGTAGGCAGCTAGGTGGCATAAAGGATAGAGTACTGGACTTGGAATCAGGAAGATTCATGTTCTTTATGAGTTCAAATCCAGCCTCAGACACTAGCTATGTGACCCTGGGCAAGCATTTAGCCTTGTTTGCCTCAGTTTCTTTATTTATAAAATGATCTTGAAAAGGAAATGGCAAACCACTCTGTCATATTTGACAAGAAAACCCCAAATAAGGTCACAAAGAGTCAGACATGACTGAACAACAACAAAAATTGATGGGCATCCCCTCAGTTTCCAGTTCTTTGCCACCTCAAAGAGAACTGCTATAGACATTTTAAGAACATACAGGTTCTTTTCCTTTTTCCCTAACCACCTTTGGGAAACAGACCTAATGGTGGGTATTGCTGGGTCAAAGGGTGTACATAGTTTTATTACTTTTTGGGCATAATTCCAGATTGCTCTCCAAAGTGGTTGAATCAGTTCACAGTTTCACCAACAGTATATTAGTGTCCCAATTTTTCCACATTTCTTCCAACATTTTCCCCTTTTATTATTTTAGCCAATCTGTTTGATATGAGATAATCTCAAAGTTGTTTTAATTTGCATTTCTCTAATCAATAATGATTTACAGCATTTTTTCACATGACTATATATAGTTTTGATTTCTTCATCCAAAAATTGCACCATTTATCAATTGGGGAATGACTCACATTCTTATAAATTTGACAAAGTTCTCTCTATATTTGAGATATGAGACCTTTATGTACGAAACTGTTTATTAACTTCCCCCTTCCCCCCCCCTGGTTTTTTTCCTTCTAATCTTGGCTACATTGGTTTTATTTGTACAAAGCCTTTTTAATCTAATGTAATAAAATGATCTATTTTTATATCTCACAATGCTCTCTGTCTCTTGTTTATTCATATATTCTTTTCCTATCCATAAGTCTGATAGGTACTATGTTCTATGTTCAAATTTACTTTTATCTTCCTTTATATCTAGGTCATGTATCCATTTTGACCTTATCTTGGTAAATGGTGAAAGTCTAAACTCAATTTCTGCCAGACTGCTTTCAGGTTTTCCCAATAATTTTTACCAAATAGTGAATTCTTATCCCACGAGCTTAAATCTTTACATTTAGTAACACAAGGGTTACTAAAATCATTCACTACTGTGTATTATATGTTTGCTCTGTTCCATTGATTCACCTTTCTATTTCTTAAGTACCATTACCAGATAGTTTTGATAATTGCCATCTTATAATACAGTTTAAGATCTGTTACTGCTCCTTCATATATGTGTATATATATGTATATATATACATATATATATATATATTTTCCCCCATTAATTCCTTTGATATCCTTGATGTTTTGTTTTTCCAGATGACTTTTGTTATTTTTTTCTAGCTCAATAGAATAAGTTTTTGGTAATTTAATTGGGATGACATTGAATAAATAGATTAAGTAGAACTGTCATTTTTATTATATTGGCTCTGCCCACCCACGAACAATGAATATTTCTCCAATTACTTAAATCTGACTTTATTTGTATAAAAATGCTTTATAATTATGTTCATATGTTTCTTGGATTTCTTTTGGCAGGTATACTTTCAGGTATTTAATACCGTCTATGGTTGTTTTAAGTGGGTTATCGCTTACTATCTCTTCTTGCAGGGTTTTGTTGGTGATGTTGCTGATGATTTATGTGAGTTTATTTTACAGCCTGCTACTTTGCTAAAATTGTTTCAACTAGCTTTTTAGTTGAATCCCTAGGATTTTCCAAGTATGTCATATCATCTGCAAAAAGAGATACTTTTATTACCTTATTGCCCATTCTGAGTCCTTTAATTCCCTTTTCTTTTCTTATTGCTATTGCTAGCATTTCTAGTAAGATATTGAATAATATTGAGATAATGGGTATCCTTGTTTCACTCCTGATCTTATTGGGAGGCTTCTAGCTTACCTCCATTACAAATAATGCTTGCTGATGGTTTTAGGTAGATGCTTATCATCTTAAGGAAAAATCCATTTTTTTTCCTTACTAGGAATGAGTGTTGTATTTGTCAAAAGCTTTTTTTGCATCTATTGATACAATCATAATTTTTGTTACTTTTGTTTTGATATAATCAATTATGTTAATAGTTTCCCTAATGTTAAACCATCCTTGCATTCCTGGTATATAAATCTTGCTTGGTCATGATGTAGAATCTTTGTGATATATTGTTGTAATCTTCTAGTTAGTATTTTATTTAGGATTTTTGTAACCATATTAGTGAAATTGTTCTATAATTTTCTTTCTCTGTTTTTGACAATGATATTAGCTGCCAAATCCAATGGCCTTTTCTCAATTCTCATTCTCTGGACTACTCTGCAGCGTTTGACACTGTCGATCATCTTTTTCTTCTTGATACTCTCTTCTCTCTAGGTTATTGGGACACCACCATTTTCTCCTGGTTCTCTTTTTATCTATCAATCAATTGCTTTTCATTCTGCACTGCTAGATCCTCATCCAGATCATACCGTTTAACTAACTGTAGGTGTCCCACAGGGTTCTGTCCTGGGCCTTTTCTCTTCTTCCTTTCTATTGCTTCAGTTGGTGTTCTCATCAGCTCCCACGGTTTTAATTACCATCTCTATACTTATAATTCGCAAATCTATGTAGTCTAACCAAGTAAGTTTTAATTATACTGCTTTGTAGCATAGATTTAAATCTCCTACTGCAAAGACTCCTTCCTTTTAAAAAAATTCCCTTGAGATTACTGATCTGTTGTTTCTCCAGATGAATTTTTTTTTCTTGTACTATAAAGTAATCCTTTGGTAGTTTGGTATGACACTGAATACTACAGGTAAATTCATTCAGATAGTATTGCCATTTTTACCTTGGCACAACATAACCATAAGTACTTAATCTCTCCAATTGTTTATGTCTGTATTTTTGTGAAGTGTTTTGTAGTCACATTTATATAATTATTGTATGCATATTGATAAGTGAACTCCCAAATATTTGATACATTTTGTAGTTGTTTTGCATAGAATTTTTCTATCTCTGGGTTTTGTTGGTAATATGAAGAAAAACTGGGTTTCTAGATTTATTTTATATCCTGCTACTTTGAAATTACTTTTTGTTATTTTTCTTACTTGAATCTCAAAGTAAGACCATCATACCAATTGTGAAAAGAGCTGAATTGATTTTTAATTTCCTGGGTTACAAACTTCCAGCAGAGGTAAATGGAGGGTACTACTACCTGTCATTTGCTCAGTGTTTGTTACTTGACTACATATATTGGTTCAGAGTTTTTTGTGCAGGTGACAGAGTTGTCCTACGCTATCTCCTTACAGGGAAGAACTTGAGCGCTCGCTATTAGATTCTAAAGGATCTAACAGATCAACACGCTCTTACTCCCATTTTTACAAGGTCGGGGAAGTAGCAACCCTAAAGTGATTGACAATGTAATACAATGAATCTTTGAGAGAGCCCCGGAGTGACACTAGAGGACTCTGGGTTGGTCTGGGTTGCTAGGCAAGCAATTGATAGGTTACATTAGGCCCCGCCCTTCTTCCTCTACGCGGATAAGCCTCTGCGCTGGAACGTAGTTCTGGAACCTAGCAGGCTCATTGACTTTCGTATTTCTCAATTCTTTCCGAACCAGAGGCATTTTGTATGTAGCTGTCAGAATAGCATGTCTGGAGGCGGAGGGATTGCAGGTGTAGTTCTGAGCTGCTGATTCTGACCTAATTCTCATGTGAATGTGATATGAGTAACCATGGCATAGCTGTGTTGGCTTAACTTCTAACTGCCTGCCTGGGAGTTTTGAGTTATTGCTCTGGTTCCCTATCAGGAACTTAATATACAGTGAGCCCTGGGGTTTGCAACCTTCTGAGAGGGGACTAATATCTCCCTCCACACACACCTTCAGCGTTTTCCTGGTTACAAAGAGCACCTTTTGTACTCCCTCTCCCTCCACAGCTACTTCCTCCTCACCCCTTTCTCCTCACTCTGACCCACTTCCTCTCCCTGGTCTATCTTCCTTTCTCCTTCTTCTCCTCCCCCTTACTTTACTTTAAAAAAAAAAAGCCTGCAAATGTTTTGTGGGTACGTGTCTGGTTGGGACAGAGCACTGGCCTGGGTACTGGAAGAGCTGGGTTCTAGAACCTGTGCTGTGAAACATTAGGCAAGCTATTTCAACCACTCTGGGCCTCAGTTTCTTTATCTGTAAGACAGTGATAATAATACTGGAATCATCGGGTTTCACTGAGTGGTTGTGAGGAAGCACTCCCGAAATGTGAGTTGCTAGATAAGAAAACAGACTCTTGGTGGGTTGGAACGTGGTCGTTTTTTGTTTTAAATCCTTGTTCTGGAATTTCACCCAATTTAAGTGTTGGATGAATAATTGTGGATCCAGTTTTCTTCAGTCTACATGTGGTGACTCTCATCGTGCTGCGTGACCTTGGAAGGGTCACTTTGCTTCTCTGGGCCTCAATTTCCTCAAATGTAAAAGTTGGCAATAAGAATCCTTGCACTACCTACCTCACGGGGCTGTTTCGAGGAAATCTTTTTAGCAACTGCTTTACAAATTGTAAGCTCTATGTGGTTCCGCTTCAATTCCCCGCAGTGCCAAGATGGGTAAGTGCTGGATGCAGTACAGATTTTGGACCTCCTCCGCCTCCTCCCCCATTTCAACACGCGGATGCTCCTCCCTCCACCTTCTAATCGGCCTCCTTCCCCTCCCCCCCAAGTCGGGCTCTTTTGATGTCCTCTCCATGGATCCGCCCCCTCGACGTCACGTCCGGCCCGGCCTCCGCCCCTCCTCCTTCCCTCCCCCCTCGCCGTTAGGGAGGGTCCGCGCCTCAGCCGCTGCCTTCGCTGCTCTAGCCGTAGCCCTCCCCTTCCCTCCCCCGGCTCTCGGCGCCGTTTTTTTTCCCCCGGGGGGGGTAAATCCGCGAAGGGGCTCACAGCCGCCTGGCCAGTAGCACCCTCGCTGCTGTCGCCGCTTCCTCCGCTGCCACCACCGCCTCAGTCGCTCGCCTGCCCGCGACCTCCTCAGGAGAAGACACAAGACTCAGCCGCCGCTGAGCCGGAGCCTTGGCCCTCCTGCCGCTGCCGCTGTGCGGGGCGGTGCTGAGGCTGAGGCAGCTGCCGCGGCGGGTCCTGGAGAAGCGGCCCCGGCCGGGGAAGGGGGAGTCGCGCTTCCAACGGTAAGAGCGAACGGGCGGTTGCCCGGGTCCGCGCATGCGCGAGCCCCTCGCGCGCGCCCCCCCCAGTCTCTGTGTCTCTCTCTCCCCTCCATCTCTTCTTGTCTCTCTCTGTCTCCCCCTCCCCTCTTTCCAATTCCCCCTTTTCCTCTTCTTTTCCCATCCCCCATCCCTGCGCCATGTCCCCCGGTCCCACCCGTCTGGTGGGTAGTGGGTTGATGTCGTCTGGGAAGGAGCAGGGAGAGGGGAGCAGCTCTTAAAAGAAGTAGGTTTATGTTTATGAGGGAAAGGAAACAAGGAAAGAAGGAGGGAGGAGGTTGACAGGTGGGGGTGTCTATTTTTGGGGAAAGCTCCCGCCCTCGGGAGGGAGGGGGATGAGGGAAGGAAAGGCAAAGGAGAATTTGAAGGTGGGTCGCTGCCCCAGGGGTTGGTGGTGGCGTTGGGGGGGTGCGTGGAGTGAAGTGACGGTAGTTTCTACCGGCTCGGGCTTGTGTGGGTTTCCCTCACCTCTCGAACAACCCCGAAGTGCCTGCATTTGTTTGCAAGTAATTCTTCATCAGGATCAGTCTCGGTGAACCCCTGACTCGGCTGCCTGTAGTTCTTCTTTTCTGCCCCATCTTTCTTCCTTTTCACTTCCTTCTCCAGGGGCTGTGGGTTGGGTGTTGATGGTGGTTGGTTTCTTGTACCTCCTGTTTGGGGGCAAAAGAGGGCAAAAAATGTGGTTATTTGCTGGAGCTTAACTGCATTCCCTCCCTCACCCCCCTTTTAAAAATTGTATTCCTCTTAATGGCACAAAGCATTCGTGATAACAAAGTTCTTTAAATGTCACACTAAATGGAGCCTGAATTGGGCTGTCAAGCACATGGGCTTGTCACAGAACCTGAAATAGTTATGTTAGATAAATGGAAATGTTATTTTGATTTGATGTTTTGGTTAGGATGCCAGGAATCCATTCTTGGGAGTATGATTCAGTAGGCATATAGTTCAATGAGGAAAATTAGCTAACGCCATTTTATTTACAAACCTGATGTAAGAAAAAATAGATTTCCTACTTGCATTACAAAATAGACTCCATATATCAGAATTTCATCAGAATCATTTTTGTGTGTGTATGTGATGACCTGCTACATGCTGTATAAAGAAAAATGATGACCTGTCCTCTGGAAGCATACCTGGTAAGGTGGAGGAGCTGGCATATAAGAAATAGATGGTAGGCTAGAAGCATTAATGCTTGCGGCATGTTTGCCATTTGTAGTAAAAATCCTCGGTATATTTGAAATACTGAGCTTAACTTCTAACCTGTGTTCCAGTTTCCCTATGTTAAAATTTGGTCAATACTTCTTAAAACTTGAGAGATTTTTGTGAAATGATTTAAGTTCTTGGAGTTAGGAATAAGGTAGGTGCTTAAGGTGATATTTGTTCCATGAAATTTTTTTGGAATGGAAATTTTAAGTGTGTTAATTTTTTTAAGAGTCCATCTCATGTCTTTTAAAAACAGAAAATGGCTGAAATGGATTTACTGTTACCATAATGACTCTTGTGAGCTTGCTTTAATAAAAATGAAGACTACTTATGTGTTATATACACACATACATGTATATCTGTACATGTTACATATGTAACCTCAGAATCAGATATGGATATCTCTACCCCAGTGAATGATAATTGACATTTGAAGAATATTCGGAATTAGTGCCACTTTTTTACCTTTTATCTGAACCTTGTTCAGGAAATAAATGCCTTTGCTGGGAAATAAAATAGGCAAAGAAAACCTTTTTATTGTACATACTAGGTGACAATTGAAAATTAAAACCTAGAGTCCCAGTTTTCCAAGGTAGTCCTTGAGCACATTGTTTTAGGTTTTTCTGATTTTAGGAGTAGTTAATTTGAGGCGGGGGAAAAGGATAAAAGTAATTAATGAGCCTAGGGTCTTATAATTTGAAAAGAACTTATTGATTATGCTGAGGGAAGGGATAAATGAGTGTGATAGGAGATACGATTTGATGTCATTGTAGTAAAGTTTAACTTCACTGCGCTTTAAAAAGTCCTTCGTATTAGCCTTCATATTAAAGAATTGAATACAGATAGCTTTGCTAGGGGGTGCAGTGGATAGAATCTGGGAGTCAAGAGGACTTAAATTCATATTTAGCCTCAACAAACTTACTAGTTGGGTGACCTTGGGCAAATCACTTTGCTTCTGCATGCCTCAGTTTCCTCATCTGTAAAATAGGGATAACAGGTGCATCCCAGGGTTGTTGTGAGGGTAGAATGAGACATTTGTTAAGTGCTTTGAAAACTTTAGAGAGATGCATAAATACTAGCTATTACTTTTATTGTTGTATTTATGGAGTTAGCACAACTGACAGAAACCTATGGTAGGCCCTTTCTATAAAGGGTTAAAAGGTAGCTTCCCTTAATTTGGGGTCTTTTAGGTTTAGTTCTAAAATTTGATGTCATTTCACATTGAACATTTAAGCAATAGGTATTATTAGTAATATAATTATCTACTTTACTAATTTTTTTGATTTTAGGATCTTCAAAGTGAAGACTTCAAATTTTTTTCTTCTGACTTATTTCCAAGTTGTACTTTTCCTGTTTCTGGTCACTGTGCATACTTTAATGTGCTTGCTAACCCTAGCTTTTGGTCTTAAACATTATTTCAGGTAGATTAGTGTATTCTTGCTGTCTTTCCCTAAGAAATAGGAATAGGGAAGGAAAATAAATTTGATGTCAAAACCTTTAAAACCTAGTTTTACTGATGCTTTCTTTACATGGCTATCATTGCCTGTTACCCCAGAGCACCTGCCTATTAACAAAGAAATATATTATATATCTCATTTTGTACTGATAGATACAGCTTGCCAACCTTCCTCCTGAGAGTTGTGTTCACCGTGTCTTTGCCTCTTCTTTCTCCTTCAGTATTCGATATCTTGTGATTTCTACTTTCAGAATATTTTTGGTTCCCTACTTTCCAATTAAACTGCCACCACACTAATGCAGGTCCTTGTTACCTGTTGTGTGAACTATTGTTATGTTCTCTTACTTGGAGAACCCTCCCTTTGCTCTGTTGCCAAAATAATGTATAGGGGGAAACCATATTTTTTTCACTTGAAGGCATTCAGTTGCTCTCATAGGGTAAAATACAAACTTTTCAGGCTGTTGTTTCAGGTCCTTGAAAATTGGTCTTCAACCTCTTTTATTGATCAGCACTATGATTTCATAGGTGTAAAGAGCTCCAGATCATCTCCTCCTCTGTAATTTATAGTATTAGAGAGTTGCCCAGGGCACTGAGAGGTTAAATGACTTGCCAAGGTTAACACAGTATATGTCAGGAATTCAGGTTTTCCTAACTCTGAGGCCAGCTTTTTATCTACTATACCACATTGCTCTCTGAACCTATTTTGCCAGCTTTGTTTCGTTATATTTCTTTTCTTCTACTCAATTTCTTCATATTCTACCCAAATTGTATTACTTACAGTTTCCTAGTCTCAACAGATGTAGACTATTCCCCTCTCCCATGCATTTCTTCCACATTTGTCTAAATTCTTCTCTTTTCTTTCAGAGCTCAACTCGGGTGCTGTTCTCCCTCATATTTCCTTTGCTAAATGTACTGTTTCTCACGTTTTTCTAGATTTCTTTCTCCAGATCTTCCTTTGTCCTTATTGCATTTTTACTTTGTATTATATTTAATGCATATGTCACTAGTTCATTAAGGGCTGAAATAACCATTTTTCATTTTTGTGTCATTACAGGCCCTTATACAGAGATATTTAATAAATGTTGCTTTACAATTGTTGAATCCTTTTTATCACTTTTAACATTTTGTGCCTTTTTACTTTTGTAAGTCAGTCTGATAACTGCTGCTAGCTCAGCCCCACACAAGCATCAGAAAGTAAGAAATGAAACTGTTCATTGAATTTTAAAAATGAAAGTCGCTTACTCATCCAGTGTTGCTACCTTTTCGTTCTCAAATACTAAGCATAGTAGATTGAAAATCTGGAAAAGAAAAGGAGCCCTAATATGGAGAGGATGAATTTAGAGTTAGATGTGACTTTTTCACAAGGGAAGGTACCAGACTAATATGGTGGGGTTTTGTGGACTAACAACACTTGAAACTGTTAATAATTGGGGGGGAAAATAATGTTCTAGTAGAGAGCAGGTGAATGCTGGTGTTCAGAATTTTTTAGTTATGCTGATTTTGAGCTCATTGGTACTTTTATTCTCTGCATAGTCCAATAAATTTCAAAGAAACTAAATTTTTCTTTTCAAGGATGGTAATGGTAACTTAGGTATTATGCTTCAGCATTCAAAATACTGAGTTTCTTTTAAGAAAAAGCTTAATACTTTGCTGACATTAAATGGAAAGAGCTCATTGCCAGATCCCCACTTTGACTTCTTTAATGTTCTAAGAAATTACTTGGAGAATAAATGTGTTACACACACATTTAAGTCTCTGGGAAGTGAATTCCATTTGGAACCATGTTGCTTAAATAATAGGCTTATTAAGGAGATTAGCCTTTCGTGTATAAATTTTGATTTGAAAATCTTAAAAAATTCTGAATATAAATGAAATTATGCTGCTGTCTTTGTGATGAAGAACATTTTTGTTCTGTAATTCTATGCATTGATAGAAAAATCGCAACTTATTTACTTTATGTGAAAGATCACATTTCTAAGTCTTGGCTTTCCAAGTACTTAGACCACACTTAACCTTAAGTTCTTGTTGCAGCTGCACGGCTGTTTGTATAGGAGCACTAATTTGACTAAATGTGCTAGCTGATAAGTGTTGGACACATATAACCCTGAAAGATTTTGGGATGAGAAATATAAGGAAGATTGTCACTGTGGAATTAATTGTCTTGTCGGAACTGTTTTTAGCATGTTGTCTCAATGGGAAGAAGGCACCTTTCTGCTTATTCTCTTCAATTTATCATCTGCTGATGGATACTACCATGTCAAATTATAGAACATTTTACTATAGGATACCTGAAGGGATCACCTAC